ACACACACGCACGCACGCACGCACGCGCGCGCGCGGACGCGCACACGGAGTCGAGAGATACTAGTAGTAGTAGCCAGAGGCACTTCTGTGGGGCAAGGTTTATAAAATCCCCCCTACCAACGAATGGAATGGTCCGTAGTCAAAATGGCGGTCATAGACGAATTAGTAAAGGTAACTTGGTGACCTCGTACACTTTGGAGCAGAATGGGAACTCCAGAAATAGACAATGTGATCGAACGGTGTCTCCAGAAGCAGGAAGCTGTCCTGAACTTAAGTCACCGAGATATCAGCGTCCTGCCACCAACGGTACGTCAGGTGACACATGTCAGACGACTCCTTCTCAACAACAACAAACTTCTTATGCCGCCCACCGAACTCTTGGCTTTGCAGCAACTTGAAGAACTGACTTTGGACTGTAACAGCCTGACTCTGCTTCCGACTGGAATAGGTGAACTCAGCACACTGACTTACCTGAGCCTGAGCAACAACAGTTTGGGCTTTCTTCCCGGAGAAATAGGTAAACAAAAATATGTGTGGGGAGGGGGGCTGTTGTAACTTACTAGTATAACATGTCGGTTGGAAAGTCACTCGACGGGATATGGAATTGAGAGAAAAAAAAAGAGAGACATACATAATATTAAAAATAATGTCTTTGTCTAGGTTCGCTGGAATGTCAGTGTGCCGTCGCTCTACCATATTCTATCCTATTACCCTGTTGTTGGACAACAAAGACTATTACCCTGTTGTTGGACAACAAAGACTTCAACAGGACTTACAAAATCTTCAAGAATGGGCCATGAAATGGCAACTAAACTTTCATCCGGAAAAATGCACAGTCCTTCGAATTGGAAAGGGGCACCCAGTTTTTGAATACACAATGGCAGGCACATCTGGGAATATCCCCCTAGCAGTCACTACTATGGAGAAGGATCTGGGTATACTAACGGATAAAGACCTTACATTTAAGGACCATATACACACAATTGCAAACAAGGCAAATCAGTTAACAGGACTACTGTGGAGAACATTCCAGTTTATCGATCAAGAAGTATTTCTCCTGCTTTTTAAAGCCCTGATTAGGCCACATTTAGAATATGGAGCCTCTGTTTGGTCTCCGTACAGACAAAACCTGATGCTTGAATTAGAGAAAGTCCAAAAAAGGGCCACAAAAAGAGTTCCGGGGTTGAGCAACCTTTCTTACGAGGATAGACTCAGAACTCTGAAACTCCCAACATTGGTCTACAGGAGAATTAGGGGAGACCTAATCAACACGTATAAATACATGCATGGTCTGTTTGATACACAGAACCTGTTCCAACAAAAAGCAGAATCAAGGACAAGAGGTCATAGCTTGAGAATAGCAAGGATGACCTTCAAGGGGAATACAAGAGCATTATTCTTTACAAGCAGAATGGCCAACTGGTGGAACAGTCTTCCTGAAGAAGTGGTCTCTGCACCCTCGGTAAATGCCTTCAAGAACAGACTTGACAAATATATGGAGAGTCATCCAATTATGTACAATCACACGGCCCTGGATTGCCCGCATAGGCCGGGAATGACAGTCCGGTAGAGCAACGAGCAGCCCAGAGACGTATAATGTCCTTGAGCAGCCTAAACTGGATGGATACCTACCTGGCTGAAAGAATCTACTACTATCTACTAATACCCCCAGTCTGTCTGATAACCATATAAACCAGGCTAACGTTACATGTTACAATAGGCCTTGCGGTGTCGGTGCATCACACCCGAAAACTATTATTCCGCAATCGACAGTGGTGGTGCAAATAAAACAACAAAAGAGATCAATAAGAATGTGAATACTAGTAAATAAAACTTTGCCTTTTGATGTATATACAACTGCAAATCACGTTAACAGGTGGGAAACAAAAGTCATTTTGGAATGTTTTTTCAATGTAGGGAGGCTGCAAGATTTAACCCAACTGTGGATAGCTGACACCAAACTGATGGGCCTTCCACCAGAAATCGGTCTACTCCAGAAGCTGGAAAAACTCAGCGCCAAGAACAACCAAATATCTTCTCTCCCAGATGAGTTGTGTAACCTGTCTAAGTTGTCTTGGCTAAATCTGGCCCAGAACCAACTCGACAGGCTTCCTGACAGTTTCTCCAGGTTACAGAACTTGTCTTACCTGAATGTGGATGGGAACAGGTTTGCAGAGGTGCCAGCTGGTCTGGGGGAGAACCCTGCCCTGTCCTCCCTGAGTATGAGGAAAAACATGATCTCCTCTCTACCTGATGATCTTCTGCTAAGTCTGAACAAGCTGTGTAAGATTGACCTCAGGGAAAACCCTCTCCAGGAAAGACCTGCACACTGGAAGGTAAAAACCATTTCAAGATTATGTCACAACTGCTTTATCACGTACACATATGACGATAGCTAGAGTCGGTATCCTAGAGTCATGTTGACAAACAACTAGTATCTTCAGGGAGATGGCATTCTGTAGACATTATGATTCAGTGCCCGTGCTAGTACACACCAATAGAAAGGACATTTACAACATTTTCCATGTTTTCACCATGTAGGGTTTGGACTTCATTCTGCTGGGTCCAGACCACACCGGAGCAGGAGATGGGCCAGGAACCAGCACAGAGTCTGAGGACACAGACAGCAGTGGGGACAGCACAGAAGATGGGGAGACTCAGTAACAGAGCGCACCCAAGGAAACTAGGCAGTCTCAACTTGTACACTTTGAGCCTTGCAATTTTAGATAATTCAGTCATGTATAGATTGAATATAGTACATGTGGGTGAGATATAAATGTATATCATCACTAAATGTACATTTCTACAGTACAAGGCGATTGCCCAGGAACTTTTACCAGCAACTTTCCTGCTCAGTAAAGAGAGACATTGTAATTTGTTTAATTTCATGTGTTGCAATGTGTGTGTGCATAAACACAATTTGGTTCTCTTTCTTGCTGTATATGATTCTACCTTTTGATCACTAAATGTTATATTTGGGTATAATACTGAGCATGAGAAAGGCAAGAGGTCATGTATTTTACTGACAAATCCCCTCAAACCACTTGTGAATCTGTATTACTAACAATCTAGCCTGGGATGAATCCCAAACCCAGTTTCAATAGGATATTTGCATGTAACATCACAACATGGCAGATGTCACATGAATGCAATGAATGTATATACTACCTGACACCAAAGATGGAAGCAAACATACTAAGGGCAATTTTTGTTTTCTCTGCTTAAGATATAACAAAACTCTATATTTACACTATCTGAAGTCATCAGGCTCCACAAATAAAAGGTCCACAAACAAATCTTTACTGTCACTTGTATGACAAGTATTTCTTTATTTGTTATCCTGTACAGCATAAATTTCTCCAATTGCAACAACTTTCTTATGTGGAAGTGAAACAGCAAATACATGTACATTTCATTTGATGTACTATCTGGCTCTATGTGTGCAAACTTAAGGACATGGTTAGTCTAGATTTACATGCATTTAATGCTCGTTCCGTGATACAAAACTGACTGGACAGAACAAATTTTCAGCCATATAGACTAAGAGCCTTGTTTAGGTATCTGTACTATAATATACATGTACATGCAATATAATGGAGTTTTGTTCTATTGGAAACAAAATACTTTTTATGGATATCAGCTATACAACTGCACAGATTTGATACTAGAAGTAGCTATAGTGACTGAGATTGGAGAGAAAATGTTATGTCAATCCCCAAAATTTGTTACCATAACTCTCAAAATGTTACAATGTGTTCTCTACCTTTCAAAATACAATATACACAGTATTTCATATGTGCATAATGATGCTGTTTTGTAACTTCAAGTTTTTGCTGTTTTTGTAATGTGCACATCATTAGAATTTTACAGACATTCAGACATTCAGACATGTCCATAGCACTAAGCTTTTTTTGCCTCTTGGCCATCATGTGTTCCCATGTAATGTTACCTGTGATAGCATTGCACATTTTGTTAGGGAAGGATAGGCTGGAAGCTACTCATCATTGAAGTCTTTTGTGTTGGAAGAGGACTCCCAGTCCAACAGCAGCACATGTGAGCAGTAGAACTGTTGCAGCTGTATACAGTAGCCGGTTGGTCTGGCATTCAGGAGGCTGCAGCACCTTGGCCTAAGCAAAACAGAAAATTCAAAATACCTTGAAGTTGAACACTTTCCCAACTGAATTCTGGTAGTGCATTGAAGGCAGATTGTACAGTAAATGCCAATGTTCTGTAAGTTTATTTAATATCTGAGTCATATTGTTGACACAAAGGCCTGAGAAAATTGGCATCAAATACAGTATGCCCCAATGTATAATAACATACAGTACTGCTTGTTTGTAGTTTATCTAGGAAAGACACAGATTACTAGTACAAAATGTACATGTATGCAATAGATTGTAATGTTACAATACGCCCATATGGCTCATAAGCTCATATGGGCTGGGCGACAATGTTGCAAGACACAATAATAAAATTCATTCATTTGATTGGATACTTAAAAGCACAAAGGGACATCTAACCTCACAAAAGTTTTACAAGTTAGACTTTTACACAGAATTTCAGAAGACAAGTCTAGCTCACCCATCCACCATTTGGTGCCACCCAGTCTGACACCCAGTTTCCAATGAACCTGACTGACCAGCTCACAATATCTGCTGCCCTCTCCTTCCTGCCTTGTCTCAGGTTTGCTACAGTCAAGTCCCGACAGAAGATAATCAGGACAATAATCCGCTTCATGTTGATGCCATTCTTAAACAGCTGACTCCTCATTTCTTCAGCAAACTCTGAACTGTTTCTTGGACTGTTTTCTCTTTGGATTTCCTAGAAAATCCAAACAAATCATGATTAATAAATGATTATGTATGTACATTTTAAACCTATCAGTGCCAGTGCCATTTAACTATCAATCAGTGTTGTATCCTCTATTCACAGTGTGCATGTATGTAGACTAGACATGAATACAAGCAACACTGTAACTTACCTGAGCAGCTTTCTGCCAGAGCTTTTCCCTTTCTCCCTTACTTACAAAAGCATACTTCTTGATAATGTATGTCAGCTGACGAGTCAACGCTTCCACGTCTATAGCCAGAAGACTTGCATCAGAACTACTGATGGGAACAAAGGAGTCAACATTGCAATTTACTGACATACTTTACAACCATGCCTTAAATGATGTAACTTTTTATATATTCTCATAAAAATATTTACATTTATTTATTTTATTTGACAATGATTTGACTTCACAGATTTCTTAATATAAGATCCCTGCTGTTATGATTAGAAGTTAATTGAGTTGTGAGTTGATTGACCCAAGGAGCTTTCAGCATGTGTTGAAAGCTCCTTGATTGACCAGCATAGGGTTTACACAAAACCCACAGCCCAGACCTGGCCTTTGATGGTCCCATGTGACATCTTTAATCATTAGCAGATGACATGATTATCAGCTAGAACCTAACGAAAACAAGAGTGCACCATTTGTTTGTAAACTGATCATTGCCTGATGTGTCTTTGGTAAACAAATGTATTTTGTTGTTAAAAGCAAATCATGTTTTGTTATGACGTACTGTTGTGACTGTGCATCCTCTTCTGCTCCTGATGACTGGCGTGAGTCCACAGACATCATGGCTGGCCTCGGAACTGGAAACCCTGCCCGTTCTATCTCCTGTCGTAGGTAACGCCTCATTAACTCCTCTCCCTGTGACTTGGCCTCCGACACCCCCCTACTCCGCTCTAGGTTTAACCGAAGAGCGTCCCTGAACGAATGAGTTCTTTCCAAAAACACAGACGAGGACCGCCTTCGTGTGTAGCCATTGTCCTCGAAAACTTCACCGTCGTCAGTTGAAGACTGAGACGCCAGGTGAAAATGACCCGGTGATTGCGTGTCCGTCGAGGCCATTCTAAAGAAATATGGCTTCCCCGGTCTTACGTATTACGTACAACAGACTGTCTTTATCAGCCAGGTTTTACGTGGTGACTTTTTAATAGCCCCACTTAGCAGCATGACTCAGGCGATTAAAAAAAAAGTAAGACCAAACAAAAGCTGTGCTGTTGCTTTTATCGAACCATTCGCCACGTCTCAATGTTCTACAAACGTCCAATCGCTCACCGGGCACGTCATCAAAACCTTTCCCAGACTTTCGCCTCAGTCCTTTATCCCCGCGCCACGAAATGTCGCATTCCTCTACAAACACATTGTTATTTTACTTCATCCCGTCTAAATGAGTGCTGCTGCACCCAATCTCCAGATCTTGAGCTGGAAGAGTCCACTATATTTATAGGGTACAGGATGATGATCATGTTCTTACAGTACTGTTAAAGCTAATACAGTGTTAAAAAATAGTACAAAAAACTCTTTAAAAATTGTTTTACTAAATGAAAGACGGATTTAATCTCCGGTTAGATGTTTGTATGAAAATGATAAATCTAGTCGTCTGTCCACAATTGCACGCAGTACTGAATGAACTATTCTGTAGACGCCATGATCTCGTGAGAGTTTGGCGCGAGACCTCAGGTGAGTGGTGAAGTCGAAGTACAGAGGTTGGGCGGGAGGACTTCATAAGTCGCGCTGTAGGCAAACTGCAAAGTTACCTGTATCCTGGACATATAGGCTTCTGGCCTTACAAACTAGCGCCCACCAGCATCTCAAGCGCCAGCTTTCCAGACAGCAAACAAGGAGCTTGAAGCCTGCAAACCTTCCCCTGCCTTCTGATCAAGCATCAAGGGGTAGTAGATTGGTATTTATGCTGCAGCTGAAACAAGACGCCAACTAGTAAATTATAAAGGGATCAGCAAGCACGAAATGAACACTTGAAACACAGCATATCACAGCGGACTGAAAGAAAAATGGCACGGTTACGATCCAGAGGTGGCAGAGGTCGTTGCAGGAGGGGACGGACGACGCGTGGTAAGTCCGGTTTACGGTTTAAAAGGCCAACGGTGGACAGGATTATTTACGTGTACATGCTCATATCTTCTCTCCCATCAGTCAATACAACCTGCTAAAGACCCGTATATACATTTGGTGAATCGAGTGATTCGTACTGTCTCCTGATATGTTACTACATGTAACGTTACTAGTATGTGGGTGGACATAGTTATAATTTTGGATGACTCAGCAAGCATACATAATAATTAATATACTTAAAGACCTACTAGTATATTATGGGATCTCTTATGCTTAGTGTATCATCATACCATATTACGTATCTAAAATAGGGACTGACAATTATTCCCATTAGTTACCGATGATGATGATGATGAATATATATATTCCAAACACAACTGGTGACAGCAGTGGGATTGCTCCAAGCATGGAGTTAAAACCTCCTTGCTCCAAGTATGTTGCACATGTTGCTTCAAAAAACTAAACCTGTTGCTTGAAAATAACTACGGTACCGTACTACAGTTACTGTAGTAAGTTTTGGAAATCAGTTCGAAATCACTGATTCCACTGCCATGATACTGTTTGTTCTATGCTGTTTATTAATACCAAGTCCTCAGCTTATTGACAATTTTATTTTTTCATTTTAGTTGCCCCAGCTATGTCGGAGAGGTTGAGCCAAGCTGACATGGAGGATGTACCAGCAGAGTTGATTGTGAAGGTTCCTTTGGAACTTTTGCAAGAGAACTTTAGACTGACATCACATCACCCCAGTCCTAAGGCTGTAGAACCACAAACGATGCCTGTACACTGTGGAAGAGGGGCATGGAGGGGGAGGGGCAGAGGTGTAGGGAGGGGGAGGGGCAGGGGTGTAGGGAGAGGCAGAGGCAGAGGTGTAGGAAGGGGGCGAGGGAGAGGCAAGTGGAATAGAACAAGCAGAAAATCACCATGTACTGTCACCACTGAAACCTTGTATAATGGACCTGTAACACAGCAACACTCTATCAAGGGAGATGATGATCATACGAACAATGCCAGCCATGGGCAGACTAAAGGCAGAAGAACAAACAGAAGAAGCTGTTCTAGGGATCCACCTCTGTCACAAGCCCAGCCAGAACAGACCTTCCCCATTGTACCTACAAATGGATTTCGCCACTATAGAGGAAGAGGTAGGGGAGGACAGAGGCATGGAAGGGGAAGAAAACTGCAAACTGACAGAACAGTTAACCAAAACTTGGAAGTGGAAAAACACAATGATTCCAGAACGTCCAAAATGGCAACATTTCAAACAGGAGGAGATGTACACAGTGATACAGATTTGAAGGAGGACACTTTGCACATTACAAAAGAGGCCTCAGATATACCTGACTTGGAACTAAGAAGGAAGTATGCTGGAAAAAGGCATTTGAGTCAAGACAAAAGCGTATCATCAAAGAGAAGGAAACAGTTGAACGGGTCTTCCTTTGCTGCACCTGTGTTTGAGGAAGACAGCTTAGTAACCACCCCTGAAGACAGTTCTACAAATGGCCACAAGTATGTTGAGCATTTTGCTGTATTTCGCTATGTTGTTTTTCTGTTGTAGTTCACCATTTTGTCACTTCTGTTCCACCAACCTAGGAGGTTAAATACCTTGGTTCCACAGTACTACGGGTACAAAGTATTCAGGAATTGGGCTGCATTGTAATGAAGCTGGCTGTATGTTAACAATTTAAAAACAATGAAATATGTTTTCTTGTTATACTGGTTCATATACAAATGAGATTTTTTTTTCATATTCAGCATATTGGCAAAGGACCAAGAGCCAGAACAGGACCTAGGTAGTGAGAACAATGAGGACAGTGATTCAGATGATGACCTCCCAGATATTAACACTTCCCTGCAGCAGGACCCATCCAGTAAGCCAGTCATTTCTTTTTTAAAGGAATGGAGTTGATCCTATTGGTAATTTGCTTTCATTTGTAATACATGTACTCTGTATATGGACTAGTAACCACTGCTCTCAGACAGTGAGTAGTCAACACTGCTGGTTTTCGTACCTGAGTTTGGTTTCTCCCAACTCCAGTGGATTTATTTCAGAGAGCTTTATACTATAGCCACATTTGTTCAGTCACAAATATGTAAACAGTTGGGGACCAAGAATAGTAGTGTAAGGTACATGTCCAAGGAAAATGTATCATAAGCCTGAACACTGGATGAAGTTGTGGATTCTTGTTTGATTATATAATTCTCGAAAAGTTTTTGTTACCAATGTTAGAAATACACATATTACAGCTTTGTAACATGGCCATTGATATATTTCAGAGCCAGCTTTTAAGGCAGGAGAGGTTGTGTGGGTAAAGCGTGGGAGAGATCCTTCCTGGCCAGCCATTGTAAGTACAGTTTGTAGTGTCATGAATCAAATTGTTAATTCCAACATTCTGTAATAATTGGTTACATATCCTGAAGATAGATTCCATAAAGATACCGCGGGGTTGTATATTTTGCAGGCACACATAAATATTGATGCCTATTTTGCAGGTTAACCATGTGTACCACAAAAAGAAGCGCATGTCGGTCCTTTTCATCGGGTACAATCAGAAGAAAGGGTAAGTTGCACATGACAAGCATTCAGAAGTTTTGCCTAGCTCAGACTTTTAAATTTGAGCAAAGCTTTTATTTGTCTGATGCCCATGAGTTATCCTTGATGGATTTGTGTCATTTTTCTCAAACCAGGATCTCAGTAAACATCAATGCTGCCAAGGTATTCAATAGCCGGATGAAGGATCATTTCATGGTGAGTGTCCTGTGTTTGTTTTGTCACACCTCATTAATAATGCTTAGATGATACTAAATAAAGGGTAAACCCAGGCTACAATTATTGTATTTTCTGTTGATGTCCATGGCATGAGTGTGAAAATTTGTTTGTTTAGGAAGAGGCTTCGAGAACTGAAAGCAAGAGGGAATTCTTTCAGAGTATTGTAACCCAGGTGGAAGATTTTCTGAACAAGAAAGGTGAGCCATGCTACAAATATTGGGCTGTTTATACCTATATTTTCCCCCATCAAATCTGTAAATGGACTCGATCATGAACAGATATGAAAATAATATCCCCTTGGCTGTGTACAGTGTGTAGTGCAGTTAAGAAACTTAAGAATAATTGTGTATTAGTAATTGTCTTCTTATGCTAATACTAGATATTTATGGCTTTCTAAGGTCATCCTAGCAAGTTTTCTCAATTGTTGTAGGTGATGCATGTATTTCTGATAATTTTTCCTGATGAAACCTTCACACCATATACTGTATGTAACAATTGATTTGTTTTGTTCAACAGCATGTGGCAAGTTGGATGGACTTGATGCCTTTCAGTACTTCTTTCCAAATGGTAACAGTTTCAGATTTTTTCAGAGCTATGTATGGGCTTGAGTAACTTTCTAAAAAAGTTGTTGAGGTATCAAATTAGAAATGATCATAGCTCTACATGTACTACATTGTATGTGTATAAAAGATTCATGTCTAAAGTGACTATCCTTACATTCTCCATCAACACCAGAAACATTCCCACCTGACAGCCCTTGTGGAAGTGATGATGATGATGAAGGAAATGTGAGAACACACCACGATGACACAGAAGCAACACAGAGCAGTGCCCTGTCTGAGGGTGCTGAGACTTCACCCCCCAGAATCACAGGCCCCCCCAGGCATAACAGAAGGTTTGAAACTTGTTATAAGACATCTTCAAACCTGTCACAGTAAATCTACTGATTTAGAAATACATTTCTTGCAGAGTAGAACATTGCCTTTAATACATGACACAATACAGCTAGGTTTTACAACTAGGCATTTTCTATTATCTAGGATGAACCTAAGACACAACCTGGAGAAGCGCATTGTTGAGTACATCAAAACCCAACAGGATGCCAAGGTAAGACCAGTGTGTTTGCTCATACCTATTTCCACCATAACCACACCATTTATTTATTTGTCAAAAGTCTAAAATGTCAGCTAATGACTTAATAAACATACTAGTAATTCTAGGGCCATTGCTACTGCTGCTCTATGTGGTGCCTAATTATTTATACAAATTTCATGAAAGTTCAATTGCCTATTACAAATTTTATGTTCATAAAAATGTACTTTTATGAAGCAATGTGTGCAAATACTTGAGCACCCAAGTATTTCTAATACAAAGTAGTCATCTTTATGTCATCTTGTTGTTATGTTCTGTTACATATAATAGTGTGCCTAATCATGCCACTCTTGCCATGACAAACGGTTTTTAGGTTTTTGTTTGTGATGTCTTCTGTTTTGAAACTCAACAGGATCATCTGGCTGGTATCTACCAGGGGTCAGTTTTGTCTCAAAGGCACCAGGATTTTGTTCACAAAGACCGAGCTGTTCGTGCCATGTTGCAGGGTCAAGGGACGGGCTTCATTACGAGTGATGAGCTGGTAGGGATCCAACAATCCTTTCATATTGGCCAAAATTGAGGAGCTGGGCTGTTCTATAATGTTTTTGCATTATCATTATCATTATGAAGTAAAAAAAGCATAAAATTTTCTACAATCCCAAGTTTCTTTTTCTTTGTGTCAGTTTTCAAGAGGATATTATTGGTCAGTGCTTGTAAGGCGATTTAAGGCAGTCTTGTTTAAGTCAAGTTGTTTAACTTACCAGTAGTAATGTGCATTCATCATTCATGACTTGTTGTTGTAAGCAGTTTTGAATGACTGCTGTCTCAAGATTGTTGCTTTTGCATAGATGGATTTATTAATTTCGCTGTGTCTGCTCAATATCCCTGCCTAATCTTTATACATTATCTTGCTTTTAACTCAGGCTGAAGACCTCTTTTCATGTCTGTCAGACCTCTACCTGAGGTGTGAGGAAGACAAAAACTTTGCAGACACAAAATATGTGGCATGTGTGCTGATGCCTGAGGTGAGTGCCTACACTGTTCTGTGCATGCATTACCCAGGCATGTTGACAAAATAATGACATAGGCTTCATGTGTTACAACTCTCTAAGTCTAACCATCAATGGCAAATACAGAACAGAACTGTCCAGTTCAAAGATGTTGCATGCCCCCCAAAAAGAACTAGTGCTCAAACAGGTGGCATATGCAAATAAGGTGAACAATTGTTTCAAGGGTGTGGTTTGTGCTGTTTGTGAAGATCCCTGTGCCTATCACAAGAGCATGCAGTGTCCTCTTGCATTACATTACAACTGAAGATCTTGTCTTACATTAATGTTACAACTGAAGAACATGTATTCTATGTATGTTGCAGGCAATTCTGTATGGCCTCCACAAGGTCAAAGGCATCAGTATGAAGGCAGCTCAGGAACTAATGGATAAGGGACCAGAGCTGTTCCCTGCAGAGAGGACGTGGTACAGGGAAGCTTTGAGGGCAGAGCCTCTGACAGAGGAGGAGAGGAGAAGTATCATCCACCAAGCAGCTCAAAATGTGCTTGGGAGGGAAGGGTCTAAACAGCTGCTGCAACTGACTTAGCCTACTCTGTATGCCCTTCCATGGGATGCACCTCACAGCTGAAATTGTGATACACATATAATACACAGCATATTAGATGTAAACACTGTTTTATATACATTGTATTGTTGAGATTGTTAGTAAACGCTTTAGCCAAATGTAGATATCTGTGTGTAGAGTGTTTGTGGGTTTTGGGGATGTACTCTATTGAAAGAGTTGCTATCCTTTCAAATACCCTCAAAGTATATAAAACATGTATATATACCATGTGTGTTTGATTCAATACAGTTGAGTGTATAAAAAGAAAAAGTCCAGGCAACTAGACAGTGAGTGTGACTGTTCATGGACATGATACAAACTAGAGGTCCATGACCCCATGACTCTGCCAAATCATGATCAGTGACTTTTGATTTGTCAAGAAACAACCTATGTCATAGGAATGTCCTGGCAATGCTACCACTTTCAGATTTTTTATGACATCATATGAAAATGAAATTCGTCATTCCATGCACATGTACCAGAACAACATTCCTCATTGCTTGAGGTAGCAGTAAGGTAACAGTAGAAACAGGTACTGAGAAATCAGCAGAGATTGCCTTACACTTTTACCATGTCAGCAAGGTAGTTTTCTCAATGTACATGCATATTTTTCTTCAGAAACATGAATGCTATATCATAACATGTTACATACTTGTTGAGGAGTGAGCTGTAAGCTTACTGAGTGCCTTGAAAACCATTTGTTCCTCTGTCTCATGCAGTACCTACGATGTGCAGTTGTTAAGAATTTCCCAAATCTTTAGGCAAGAAACATTCCAATGGGCCTAGACAGTTGTAGGTTTTGTTTCTATTGTGAGTTTGGCTATTATTAATATTATGTACATTCTTGACCTCATGTTAACAGCATGTAAATGCAACAGTCTGAAGTGGAGGTTATCATGCCACAGTAACTGAAGAATCAAGACTTTTCTAACAGTGTGTAAGAGAGCAAAAACACGTACAGCAAATATTTCACTTTGTATACTTTAACCATGTAAACTAACTCAGTATAGCCAGGTTACCAAACGTATTGTAGCTGTGGATTCTCTTTCATCCTCTTTGTAAGCAGCTAAAATAGGTTTTGTGACCAGGCTATGTAAACAATGTACTGTACAACTTGCATCTACTCCTCTATTAAATATCACCATAGCTGATTCTACCGTGCCATTACTTTCAATGTTTTGTGTATATAGAGGGCGAGATGTAAATGCACTAGCAGTGGATGATTACTTGTGCGTGCCCATAAGGTGCTTAAGTATTAAATCATCAATGTATTTTTTTCTCTGCATGCTTTCAGAACTTTATTACATATGAAATGTTTTAGTGTTAAAAAGTAGAGCAGATTGTTCTTATTGTTCTGAGTAATACCAGGCTGTATTGCAGTTTGTTGATACACTGTTATCTTCATGTGCCTTAGAAACATATAAAGTTGACTTGATCACGATGTTAATCCTTATGTTTGAACATGTATAAGAATTATGGAGTAGTGTTACAGAAACTTCACTTCTGAAGCGTTGTAAAAGGCCATACTCGGCAAAATTAGAACACAGTGGAAATAACTAAGCAATAGATGGAAAAATGTCAGTCACATGAATGTTTTGTAATGTCACAGTAGGAGGGATCTAGAAGATGCATATTTGTGATGTACGGTTAGAAAAAATCGTCTCCTAGTGGCCTGCCTGACTGGCAGCAAGGTTCAACACAGGCAAGATTTGTTACAGACTACAGGTAAACTTGAGGACAATCTGTAGGTAGCAAGGGTCAGCCAGGGTATTTCCTTACCAGCTTTAGTGAACAACCAAGAAAGCATACTGTTACTGCAGCAGATAAGGTTCTGTAGTGTCATAAATGTGTATTACTACTGGTCACCAGTACTGTACCACAATATGTTACAGTGGTGAGTTGAGGCAAACTTACTACATTTGTTGCATTGTGTTCACATTTTTTAAAAACTGCATTTACTTGTCCCTGATGTATTACATGTACTTTCTGATAAAAAAATAGGTACATGTATATAAGTCTATGGATGTTATTGTTACAGTAGCTTTCTACTCTCTACACACGACCTTGTGTAATAGCATGCAGTTGTGGGTTCTTTAGGTGTAATGTACCGTATCAGCTCTAACCGTATGTGTGCACAATTCTACTTTCTGGGTGTTAGTGGTACTCTGTAAGGTGTAACAGGTCTAACCTGGAGTCCAGTTGGCATTGGCAGGGTATGTAGCAGAGTTTGTGGAGCAGACTTAAGCTAACAAGACTGGACTCTTGGCTATTTACAGGTCATGATCAGACTCCAAAATAACATGTTTGCAAGGCACTTGCTGATAAGTTGGTGTCTTCGAATATTCTATATGTTTCACTCACACTCTTGAAACTATTAATTTGAAAGAAGTAAACAACTGTAAAACTGATTTGAAGACTTCAATGTGACCATTAATTGTGTGTGTGTGTGTGTGTATAAAGACATATAACATGCACAATTTCCAATGGTATTATTATTTACTTGAAATGTACTACACAGCAGTTTTACCACATTGACTTTTAAACAATAGATATAGGAAGGCTACTTAATGGCACATTTCACATGATTTTGGAAGATGAAACAGATAACACAAGCACCAAATTAAAATTGTACAACTGATGCCACAGTACTGGAGGACCATTGTACATTCATTCAAAAATATGAACAGAGGAATAATCAATAAAATAATACATCCACCAGATATACAAAATCTTTAACATTCTTGCCTATTATAAATATCTCAAGCATTTAGACATGATAAATTCTGGAACTGGAAGGTTACATAATGGCACATTTCAAACCTAGATTAGTTTATTAACTCAGATGATATGTGGATCATATAATCAGGAGGAAGTTGGGTACTAGATAGTAGATACAATAATGCATGTTTTCATGTGCATAAAACTCGCAAATTCCATTTCTGTATGGTTCTAAAGGTCAAACCGATATAATTTCTTGTTGATTGGACTTCTGCAGGTAATAAATGGCCTGGGCTAGCAAAATAAAAGAGGATTCTATGAAGTCAAATATGTACTTTATAACAGCAGTTACCAAACTGGACTGGGTAACAATTCAAACAAGAAATGTTTACGTATAAATAAACCCATGTGAAATGTCTGACACAGTATGTTGTTTGAAATGTTAACAATGTATAACAAGGAAGACAATAATTTTTCTGAACTGTTAGTTTGAAATCTTGTCAGCTTGTCAATGCTATGATGAAGGAAGGGTTCCAAAAATCGAGCCTGGTGAATCCGACCTACCAAACTGGTGTGAAATTATAACAAGCAATTTTCTCTCTATGTGTGTGTGCTGAAATGACAAGTGAATACTGCAGAAGGCAGCAACAGGAATTCTTGCAACCAGTTTTTGTTCCAAGTGAAGCCTCTGGCTAGATAGAGATGTTCAACCGTTATCTACTCCATTGCACATAAAATCATATATCACCACACACCACATACAATGAAATACAGTGCAATGTAAATCTATACCTACACAATTTAAATAACCTTAACCATCCCTGTTTGTACTAGACATGTTTGCAAAATTGATCCCATAATTTGCATGACTATTTTTGCAACTGTACAGTGTATTATGGGACCTACTTACAACAGTGTACATTGTTTTGTACATGTAGCTTTCCTAGCAAAGTTGTTCCAGTGGCATGGAGTGTCAATTGTCAGTTCTGAAAACCGATTAGACTCTGTTGAAGATGTGAGCTCATTCTAGTAGTGTCTAAATCTTGACAACTGTGCTTCTGGTTCAACCATCACTAGACCTGTATCTAGTGGTCTATCCTGTTACACAGTGGTCATGACAACATACATTGTATATCCTCCAGACAGGCAAATGCCAACTTTTCCCCATATACATAGAACAAAAACTTGACTTCAATCCTTTTTTCATGTAAGCTCTTGTTTAAGTAAATAATTGTCATATTGCATATCTCTAGGTTTTCTGTTTTATCTCTAGACTACCCTGCATGGAAGTTGCCTAAAGGTAAGTTTTTCACAATAGTACAAATCTGGAAATCCTTGGCCAAGAGTCAAAGTCTTCGTGTAACAATTGGATATCGAATTAAAGCCAATATTCAGTCTACAGGAGAAAAACCAACTTTACTGATCCTAGATTATGTAAAACCCTACATATAGTAGTCCACTGTACTCATTATCACTTCCAAAATTGTATTCATTTCACAACCGGGAGAGGGCAAAAATGTACAAGACTTTCACTCAACAGACATCTCTTACTGAAAATCCCCTCTTATTAGAATTGCCTTTCCCAGAATTTAAAAAAAATCTGCAGTATTAAAGAGAAGTGATGTCTGTTGTAAGGTAAGTCCTTGATGTAGTAGTAGTAGTGTATGATACATATCCAGTTCCCTTCTGAGCCAGATAGTATCAGTGGCACACCAACCAGCTTCCTATAGATAAAAAAGATACATGTACTTAGTTTCAGTGCATGCTATAGACAACAAGTGTAATACTAGTAATAGTCAAGAGTTCCACATGACTTGGGATTTCAAACTACCTACCTACCTACCTACCTTGTCCCTTGACCTCCTGGTCATTGGGGGGACAAGGCAGAATATAGGTATACATGTATTTTGTTTTAAGGCTACATGTACATGTATATCCATTTGATTTATTTTACCATTTACACAAACAATGGATTGATGACTTCATTATTTTTAGGGATGAATTTCACAGCTGTGAAGCAGTTCAGAAGTTCATATGTCATGGGAATTTGGCTCAGCCACCAGCCATGCTAGCGCTGTGACCCTAACTACTAAAAGTGATGATGAATTTCACTACTGCAAATTCTGTTAGTAAAAGGGATGTAGTAAACAGCCATTGGAATCTAAACTAAAAGTGATGAATTCTACAGACTACAGCTGTGGATTTCAACAATCCATGTAGTCTCCAGGCATACTTATGTCTTATCTGAAGGAGCACCTGATCATGATGTGCACAGGTGCACAAACTACTCACCTGAGCCAGCTGTGTCACCTATCTGGACTCGGTTGGGGTGGCGGACGTGGTGTTCTTGATGTCAAACATCGTCATGTCCTCATCATCGTCATCTTGGTCCAACGGAGCCATCTCCATGTCTGCTGATGTCGTCAGCACGCCATACTTCTTTGATTTGCTGCGTCGCCTCCTCAGCCTGAGTACAACAGATGGAGACATAATTTGACCACAAGTTCACCAATGATGAGTCACATGACTACACAAGTACTAACCTCATCATCTTACATCACACTTTCCTTCCATGTACAAGAAAATTCAACTACTTCTTGTGTCCTGTTAAGTCAATTTATGATTTGTAGATGTTGCAAAGTGTACACCCGAGAAATCATGCACAAAATTAATTAACAAAATTATTAAACCAGTAAATCAGCAATATTAACCTTATTTTCTTAGAACAGAATCTTTTGTTTAACGTGTAGCATAAAAACTACATCGCATAATGGGTCTATAAAATCGAGCAAAACCACATGAGTGTGTCTTTCTGACCTGACTGCTCTAACGATGAAGTACAGCACAACCAGGGCAGTCACTCCGATCAGTACGTACAACATTCGCTTCACCACTTCACTGCTGTAGGGCCAGAGAGAGCCTTTCGGTACAGCAACAGTAGGGTAACTAGAGTTACTGTGGTTAGTCGTTTTCAGGACCGTCTGCACAGCACTGTTGGTGGATGAACCTTCAGTGAGCTTGTTGGAAGGCGTGGAGGCGCTTTCCGAATTTTGTGCCACCTGTCTCCTGCTGATGTCATGGCCGTCATCGTGCCTTACAGTTCTCCCATCCGCAACACCACAAATAACACCGAAGTGGGCTACAGATAATGCCACAAGTAAAAACACTCGCACATTCATCGTGAACACTTGTCCAGCTGCCCTAAAACAAATACAGAGGCGCTAAAACAGCATTGTCGTAGAGAATAGCCAACAGAGAACACAACTCCGGAAAATGGCGACTGATGACGTCGACTGAAGTCCCGGAAGTGGGCCAGTTGGAAGAGACCATTTAGTAATTTAGATTTCATAACATATGGTGTTTTATATTTAGTAAAAAAGTGAAATAATTATTGATTTATTACTACAGAAAATCAATATTACAGACTAAAAAGGCTATTCTGTTTGATCAGTTTCAATGGACGAAGCATTTATGAATGTAACTTTGTTTATAATTTGGGTGTCCCTTCCCCTTTATGAATGGAATATCCATCAAAAGTGGTAGTGACGGAGTAGGGAGAAATTGATCAGGATTATTTTTAATAATGGTATTTTACATAGTACAATGGTATGCTGTTGCTATTTTGTTTGATATTGGTACTGCTTTTCGTTGAAATCTACATCATTGAATGCGTTAACATATTATGTTAGCAGGTCCGTTAATGGTACATTTACTGTTACCCCCTCGATAGTAGGTTGTCTCGTCCATCAATGCAATAGAAAGATGGCGCGACCACTCGAAAATATCCGATGCACGAGTTGAAGAATTGTTGAACTTTTAGCAACAGTACCGGCCTGATGATCGGACGGGAAGTACCAGCTAGCTTCATGTTTGATTAGAGCCCTTCTGATGTAACGCTTTGTGCACTTGTTGCAATGGACGAACTGCTGGCGGCGGTAGAAGAATGCACGGGGCGGAAAATTTCTGATGTGGTAAGTTGTTCTTGCTGTTGTTGTTGACGCTTTATATAATAGCCGTGGCGACTCTTGATTCGGGCTTACATTGCATTACCCTCAGCAAGAATGCAATGTAAGCCCGAATCAAGAGTCGCCACGGCTAGTTGACGCTATGCATATGCATGAGAGTTTTTTTTTGGGGGGGGGGGGGCAAGGAGGACTTTTCGTGTCATATTGTTCGATAGATCAAAAAGCACAGCTTGTCAAAATATGCATAATTCAATTGGGTGAAAAAGGGTGTTTCTCTTTTCCTGTATTGCCCCTAAACTACAGGAAAAAGATTGGTTGAGAGATCTTTACCATCATGTGGAGAAGAATGTGAGCTCTTCTGGTGACATCAGCAGCTCAGAAGTCACTTTAGCTGTTGTGGACCAAGTCTTAAGTACAACTCCAGGTTAGTCATCAGGCCTAGGAAAAAATGTTGTGTTTCCTGTTTCCTGAAAAAGTTAGAGTCGGTAACATGTTAGGTAGGGATTATCTTTTTTCTTTTTTTTTTTAGAATTCAGTTAAATCTTTGTCGGGGTCACAAAGTAAAACTTGCATGAGGACACTTTTATTTTCAATGTTAATGTTAACATTTTATCACTCAGGTGTCAGATCATGGAGCTAGAAAAGGTTGATCAGCTTGAAAAATGTATGTCCCTTGCAGGGGTCCACCTAGCCTGGGTGCCATCCGAATTTGTAACGGCTCCCCTGAAAAAATTTTTTAGGGGGAGTCGTTACGAATTCGGATGGCACCCAGGCTAGGGTCCACCCCCCCCAAAAAAAGTCTAGGGTCGGCAGGATTTTCTAGGGTCGGTCGGGAAACAGGAAACACAACATTTTTTTCCTAGGCCTCACAATGGCATTGATAAGAATTTCACGGCGTTTGAAAACTGCTATGATCACTTTAAAAAAATTTCTTTGATTCCTACGCAATCAAATCTGTTCACACAATTTCAACATGATATATGATATTTCAGTCATTTTCACAGATACATGTAGTTGTACAATGTTGATTTCAAGTGTCAAATATTATTTGTGTTTATTCCAGGAAAGGAACTGCCTTTGTCTTTTAGTTTCATCTCAGTTGAACAACTGGTACAAAGTCAACATCAAGCTTGCTGTAGTCACCTGTCAACAGTCAATCAAAGAGAGGGTACCAACATCAGTACCATAGGTAACTGTGTCCCTTGCTGAAGACTGATGATGGATTATAACTTTCAACTTGCATGATTTCATCAATAAATACTTGCATGTATAACAACTTCAAATTTGGCATGTTGTCAACATTGGAGGAAGTTGGAAATGCATCTATGATGATTGATGTACATTTTCTGTGTAGACACTCCTGTCAGACCTCTTGATCACATCCGTGCCTTACTCCTGGGGAGGCTGACCTCTGGACCAAACAGTCTCAGTGTGGGGAGAAACAACAGAGCAGGACAACTTTATGTTGAAGACAACACTGGTGTTGTACTGTGTGAGGCACGTGGACTCCTTAAGTTTCATTTATATATCACCTGTCTATCCTGCATTTCTTCCAATGTGATTGTGATGTTTACTACCTTCATCAACTTATGGTTTTGCAGTTGTCTTGTACAATATTTTGTAGCATTGGACTGTGTATGGTAGTGTTATAAAAGCTTACAATGCTTTCCTGTTGATACAGACATTGACATTCAAAGCCAACATATTTGAAGAGCTGGTTTTTCTTCCCTCATGGAGCTACATTCCCCTTTCTTCCCACAAACAAGGTCAGAAACTTATTTTTCTTTGAACGTGTTAACAATACATTTGTTAGCTGAGATTACATCATAATGTTATACATATGAACTTCAACTTCTAACATAAGATTGCTATATCCACAGGATAATCAGGAAAGTGTGTAAAATTATCTGCAAAACAGCAGCACATACTAGTAATATGAATTATCTATTTGCAGGGAACAAGGGATACTTGGAATTAACAGCGCCACCTTGTCGACTTATTAAAACTTGTAAAGTGAAGGAACAAGACTCAGTAGTTCTAGTTCCAGTGGCAGCAACCATTCTTAAGAACAGGTAGGTTGTGAAATGATGTGATGTTAAAACATTGGAACATCTGTTGGAATTTCTTTGACCTCCATTCAACCTACAGTGTGGTCACATTCACTGTTTTCTTCATGTTTTAGGAAAGGAAAGGCGACCAAGGTGATCAGTATACAAGGCCGAGTGTCCGAACTCAGCACCATTCTTAGGTACGTCTCCTTCAAGAAGACATTCTGGTGCTTTTGTCTTTCCATCTTTCTTTTGTTCTATTCTCCTACTCTTCTTTCTTCATGGTTTGCCTTCTTTCTTTCTCTCCTTTTGTCCCTTCTAAGTTCTAGAATGTCTTCCATTTAAAAATGAGAAGGTCATGAAATGCGAAGAGGTATCAATTTTTTTTGTTTTCAAAAATGCATTTGAATTTTTCCAGATTTCCATGATGATACAAAAACAGAGGTGACAGCCAGTATATGCCAGTTTACTTGTTAATTTTTCCATAGGTCAATTTCAGATCTTTTCAGAGCATTTGCCTGAGTCTAGGAAATGTGTGCAAATCTGTTTACTTTATGGTGTCCTGATATTTTGTTGCAGGGTAAAAGAAGTTGTCTTCTTCATGTTCAAATTAAGTTGCCCAGCAGAGCAGCAACACATCCCTGTTATCATCAAGGTATGTGAAAGGAAAGGTTATCAAGAAACAAACAGCAAGTACTGGAAATGTAGTAGGCATCCTTCCATCTCGAAAGATAATGGTAGCACTCTAGGTCTGGTAATGTACTGTATGGTAATAAATAGTGTAGAAGATGTTTTATTCTGACCTGTACAGAACATGAAATATTCTACAGTCTGTAGTCAAGCCTTATATAAGACAATGCAGATGCCAGCAGTTTCCCTTTTAAACAGCCAAAGTGGAAAGCAGTAAATTCTGGTAAAGAACAGAATACAGTGCCTTCGATAACATGAAGAGATAACTCTATCAGCACCAAGGACAGCACCTCTAGCAGTTGCATACTGATAGGAAACTTCTGAATCTAACAAAGTGGAGACCTTGAGATATTGCGCTAGGATTGGAGGGAAGGTTAGAAACTCGACTTTGATTCAGTCAATTACATATCAGTATTTCTCTGTTTGTAAGAACTAGAACGAAAGAAAGAAAGATTAATTTTAGTTTTTAAAAACATTAATTGATTATTTTTGCAAAGCTATGTTGTTATTGTTTTAGGGACCTAAGCTGATCCACCTTTACCACCTGCTGGAGCCAAGGAGAGATTACATTATCACAGGCCTCAAACCTACCACACTGTTCAAGGTGAGGCAACAAAACATGCCTGGGCTAGTGATGATATTGATGTTTGTAACCGAGCATGGACCAACTTTGTACGGCTCAGTTTTCACCAAACAAGTATCCTTTGGTTTCAATACCAAGAATGCCAGCACAAACATCTTATTTGATATCAATTATCAAGTGGGTTAGTTTTTTTAGGTGCATTAATGGGGTTAGATTGGTAATGTGGTCAATATGTTTGTTCTATCATACTCCCAGGGCAGTGCAGATAGCAGAAATGTATACTGTTCCACAGCAGGGACCCAGGTTCTGCCACAGTCTACTGAACCCCAGACCGTAGCATGTCTGCTGGTATGTTTCATCATACCTTTTCCTGTCTGTTAGTCAGTTGTGACTTTGACCAACATGCCATACCTTCTTGGTGCGTCTTCACAAGCAAAGATTTTATGAAGCCAGTCTTGGCACAGGCCCTACCACACCTAGCGTATGATTGTCCAAGTCTTGAACATTGTTCAAAGCTGTCTGGTGAGGCTGCCCCTATGGTGCAATCCACCCATATCTTCTTGAGTTATACTGTTCAGAAACACACAGAGGTCTGAAAACAGTCATGTATTAACCTTCAACATATGAAAGTGACTGACAGGTACTGAGAATGATTAGCTCATGCCTCATCATTTTCAAGGAATTGTTGTAACAGTTGTTTTTACTAATAGCTTTCAGTTTAATAGTTATTCACAGCCTAATAATTCTTTTTCAGAAAATAAAAATTGCTTGATTTATTTTCAGTCAGTTTTGTCTGCAAGTGCAGTTCCAGTTGGATCAGATGGTGGCACTTCAGAGACACATACCTGTTCTCATGGTGGTGGAGTTAGGCAGAAATTCTGCTCTTACCAGGTATACCAGCAGGAAAACCTATCAGTAATTAGTTAGGGAAAACTGTATTGGCTATGATTAAACATTGATAATGAAAGTATTTGACATTCCTTAGTTAACATATGAGGTTATGAAAAACTTGTGAGTGTGTTCATGTAACTTTCTTTACATTTCCCTTAACCTAGAGATACCAGTTGAAGACGGAATTATTGAAAGTACCATGTCTGAAAAATATATTGGCAGAGCCAAAATATCTATCCACTGCATTATATAAAACTTACTCAAAACTACTATTAGTTTCAAACCATTAATCCTCATGGACATGAAAGCAAGCTCCGATGTCAGCTGCTTTTACAAGTTAACATTACATGAATGGACTACTATTTGTGCCTGTAGAAAAAAGGATGAAATATGCAGTGGTGAATTAACGTCCTGTAGGAAATATGTGATGGGTGATTCTTACAGAAAAGTGTTCAGTTAGAAAAAAGGATGAAATATGCAGTGTCAAATTACATTACTACAATAAATACTTCATGGATGAAGGTTACAGGAAATGTTCAGTTAGAAAAAAGGATGAAATATGCAGTGTCAAATTACGTTACCATAGGAAATACTTCATGGGTGATGGTTGCATCATTTGCATGCAACTTCTTTTTGTGACTTTTAGGAGTTTGTTGTGTTGCTGGATGCCTCACTGCATTGCATGAACTGTAGGCATGGCTGAGAATATACCAGTACTTTATTTCATGAGAACTTTTTGCACAATTGCATGTGTGACACCCAGGGTACAATCACTGCTTGTGTCAACAGTGATGTCGGCATCTACCAGCTTGATGGAAAAGTCAGGTGCGTCAGAATTATACATTACATTGTACATGTATATAACAGACAATATAATGTTGATTTGAACACAGGTATTTCCCCAAATTAGTACTTAAGCAATTCAATTACTTTGGTGGTAACCTCATTAGCTTTTGCCAGAGCTCCTATACTTTCTGCACCAACTTTTTTTAGTTGGGGTGAGTATAGGAGCCCCAGCATAAAGTAAACAGGATGTCACCCAGGCAAATCTTTCCTTGGATGTACAATAGGCTGCATCTGGGTTATCAGCTACATGTGAGTGAAGGCAGAGGTCTGAGGGTTGGAGCGTGTGTGGCCGTGTACAATGCTCATCTGGTGAAGGAACACACACAGGTACTGAACATCAATGTCCCTACAAGTACCAATCTTCATTTTAAGAGATATCAAACAGAACATGAGCATAACATGCACAAGTTGCCCTGACGGCAGGACAGACTGCTATGGGACCGGTGAGTGAGTGAGTGAGAGAGTTGTGTAAGGCCATCTAGGTAGACAGCAATAAAGGCACTGTCCAAGACAGTATGGTGATTGGCAACTTTGTCTGATGTTTGTGCTTTAGGGTGATGCTGTGTGCTTGAGTTGTTGTACAGCCAGCTGTGTGGTCATCCAGTCCTTTTCTACACTTAATTCACCATATAAGGTTAGTATTGTCTTTAAATTTCACCTGTTAATATTATCTTTAAATAATCTAAGAATATTTTGTATTTGGTGGATTAACTGATTGTACAAATGTATGTGAGCATAACACGACATTTCCATATAGCCGCCATCCAGTCATTCTGCTGCGCTCAAACACCTCATCTACCACCTCAACCCAAACTTGTACGAGCTGTGCTCCCTGCTCACTGCTGTCCGTCAACTGAGACTGAAGTTCAGCTCTCCCATCATCAGGTAGGTCAATTCCAACATGCAAATTAAAACATTCTGTACTACCCTCCCCTTTCCACAAGTCTTGATAAGAATGGATAGCCCAAAGCCCATTGCCATTGAACCAAGAAGACCTTAGTTGGTTGTTATTTTCTGGAGCCAGATTAATGAATCGCATTAAATTACCACAGAAGTCTAAAGACTTTTGCAAGTGTTTGGCTACAAACTCAAAATACAAATTTTGTTCCAGTGGAATACCAGTTACAGTACAGTACTTTTGAAATTGGGAATGCATGGCATTGTTCCAAACTAATATTGGAAATTTGTATGATTGTGTTGGGGTTATTAAAACTCCCACTTGGCAAATAAGATATTTGACAATATAAAATTTTATTTATAGTCCCACAGTGCAGAGGATTGAGCAACTGTTTTAATGGTAACACAAAGGATGGTTTTATTAGTAGTTATTTACTTATTATTGGTAGCAGGTAACTGATAACAAAATAACGAGCTAGAAATGTCAGATTCTATGATTCGTACTGTCTGCAGATCACAAGTTTAATATTCATATCCATAGCTTAGTAAAGCCACATTTGCATCAAAGTCTTCTTGAATACAACCATGTGTACATTATTGTATACATGCATGATACATGTAATATTTTCTTCTCTGGAATATTGTCTACTTTAGTTTATACCTTATATACGGTTGCTACTAGTCATTTAGAATGGTTGCTAATTACTTTTACCATGTTTGAGATAGACAAGCTTCTTATGTGATGAGGAATAATAAGACATAAAATAATGTATATAATAATGTGTTACAATGAGTATGTGAATAAATGTTGTACCAAGCTAGTCTGTGTACACACTATGTATCGCTCATTAAAAGTTTCATGTTAGAAAATGATCTGGAAATGAAGATAAAGTGAATGTTTTACTTGCTACAGTGAGCATTTAGGAATTTCAAACTGGAAAGTACACTCATTTGTTTTTTCAATGATGAAAATTATAGGAACAGATTCTACTAGTGCTGAATTGAGCTGGTATTCCTGTGTGTAACTTGTTAGAGATAACAATGGTTTCTTTGGATCACAACCAAGTTACATTGTATGGTAATGTGCCTGAGCACTGATAATATGTTACATGATTTGGTACCAAAAATCTGCAGACAGAAAATTGAATTGAGTCCTTTCATGATAATCAGACCTACAAGCATAGCACTAGGAATTATAAATGAGGCAGCATTCACCCCCAGACCATTATTTGCAATTATTACTACTGTAGGTCCAGATTTTCTACTTACATTCAACTGCATTGTAGGTTTTAAGATGGTAGATTTAGAGACATGGTGTAGTTTGTTGAGGCTACAATTTTTGTTGTGCAGAATTCCTTCAATCATGGAGGTATCTGTTTTTTATATCTCCATGCTTCAATACATTTTCATGGATGGCTAGTTAGTCCTAATATTACTTAGTAGAACAGTTGATTACATGATATATATCATGAAAAGCTAAGTTATATAACATTACATATGTCTGGCAATGGCATATAAACAGCAATGAATGCGATAACCAGTGGTATGGAAGTCCCAAAAGCACCTACGGCATACTTTGTGTGAACATGTATGGTAGAGGATAGATAAAAAGGATACTGTTATAGAGATGCTGCATATAGATATTGGCTCTTCCATGCACAGCATGATATGACTTGCTATGAAGCATGGCTACATTACAAGTGCTGATCCTTCCATCCTTCTTGTATGTTGAAGTGAAAGAAAACAACCTCCTTTAGCATGCAAAGATAAACCCATTTGGGTGTATGATAAAAGTTGGCAGAGCATGTACATGATGTAGGTATAATAATATTTCCAGACTACCAGGAAATATGTCTATGGATCCATTTGTGTGTTGACTTCTTTTTCGTGCCAAAGAACAAACAGTTTGCACTTAGAATGGAATATAATAATTATGATAGTCATACCTAGAATGTTTATAATATACTTTAAGAAATCTATTTTAACAAAATAGTGGATCATTTGCATGCTTGAATGCTGGTTTATAACGTCCTTGCATAGTGATTATGGATTGCTGATGCTGATGTTGATAAACAAATCCTGACAGTCTGAAACTAGAATGCCAGTGTTGTTTGCTGGCCCCATTTTACCCACCATGCACTCCCTATGACTTCCTGCCACGGCGGAGAACCCTGTCCCCGCTCCGCAGGCTCATCCCTTCTGACGGGCGCTTGGGAGAGAAGAGCTCGCTGTCAGGACTCCCAGCAGGTCTCTTACTCCCTCGGCGGCGAGGCGGCGGGCTCGGGGTAGACATGGCCGACCTTCGCTTCCGAGGGGGCTTAACAGGCTCCGCGTCCTGGTGAATCAAGAGCAATGTCATTTACTGTCTCTTTTGTAGTAACCATACACTGTACTTAAGAGGAGCAAAACAGGCTTGGTCTTCTTCAAAATGACTCAAATGACAAATCTTGATAACAATATATGCCGTGAACAAACATAGTCCTGACATGAAGAGGACTATGAAGTATGCAGTAGCAATATGTTATAAATGCTAGTACATGTATGTCACCCAATGTAAAATGAAATACTGGGGGTAGAATAAATCAAAGTATAAAGGACAATAATGCTATTACTGGCAACTCCAATATTAATGCATCTTTAGACTGCTTAAATTTTTTACAATCACAGTTGAACACGTGTAGACTTGTGATTTTGCACTCACCACTGGTTCCTCTGTTGCAGTGATATCTTCAGATGCCTTTTCATTTTCATTCTCCTCCTTAGCTACTTCCTCATTTTCAACTGCTTCCTGTTGAGTTGTATCCTCTGTCACTTCCTCAGCTTCTCCGTTTGTTTCTTCCTGCTGATCTGCTTCCCGTTGAGCTTCTTTCACCTCAACCTCTTCCTGGTCCTCCTCCTGATCTTCCTTCACTTCCTCATCTTCCTCATTCTTTTCCTGCTGCTGTTCCTCCTCCTGATTTTCTTCCTGCATTTTCTCATCTTCCATCTGATCATCCTCCTGCCCATTCTCCTGCTCCTGTTCCTCCAGATCTTCTTCCTGCACTTCCTCTGCCTTCCTCTCATCCCCCATCTGATTCTCTTCCTGTTCATCCTCCTCCCTTTGATCCAGCATGTGATCTTCTCCCATTTCACCCTCTTCCTCATGCTCCATAACCTGGTTGTCTTTCTGCTCATCCTCCTTCTGGTCCACAATCTGATTGTCTTCCTGCTCATCCTCTTCATTCTGGTTCTGTATCTGATCCTCTACCTGTTCCTCATTTTCCTGATCTTCTTTCTGCACTTCCTCTGCTTTCTCCTCTTCCTGAGCTTCTTCCTGATCATTCTCGTCTTTCTTATCCTCTTCTGTCTGATTTTCTTCCTGCTCGTTCTCATTTTCAGCTGTTTCCTCTGCTGGTCCCTCCTCATCCATTTTCTCTTCTTCCACTTCTTCCTCCTTCTCCTCTTCCTCAGACTCTCTGTTAGCTGCTTCATTCTGATCAGCTCCATCAGCTTCCTCATCTTTTTCCTCTTTGTTGTCTTCTAATGCAGCTTCTTCTCTGTTTTCTCCCACCTCATCCTTCATTAAATCATCATCGTCCGTTTTCTCTTCATCTTCCACCACAGGTGTTCCTTCATTTTCTTTCTTCTCTTCTCCATTTTCTTCAGTATTTTCTTCTTGAGTTTCAACATCCTCAACTTCAGGTGTCTTCTCTTGATCTACTTCATTCTCAACATCTTCCTAGAATGTGTGAAACATTCATGATGTCGTATGGGCCAATAAATGATAACTGCATGTTACACCATCACAATTTTAGAATGCTTTCAGTTTAAAGTTTTACATGTTTGCTATTGTTACTTTATCGACTACTTTAGATGGGTCCCACAAAGTAAAGCTGACTATTATGAGAAAATGCAGCAGATTGAACATTCTGCACCATTTGATGTCTGATAATGATAAAAACGAGTCACCATACATCATACACGCTATCAGAGAGGCAATCTTACACCCATCACCCTACATTGTCAGGAGATAATGGATTCACTTTATTGCCCATTATAAATTGTACTCTTCACCCCACTGACACATGCCTGATAGATTCCTTGTATTTGTTTACATTGCTGTATGTAAAACTTTGTAGGCAATAATCATCTCAACCATCAACCGTGTAAATGAATGTGTACCTGAACATCATCTGTCACCTGTGCATCGGGTTGGGGATCACCTTGCTGCTCTACTTCCTCCACTTCCCCCTCAACAGCAGACGCCCCTGCTGTCCTCTTTCCAGCTGACTGATGACCTTTCCTGTTTGCAACCATGTCTGATTACCTTAAGAGAAAAGATTAAGATATCATGTTATCAAGACTTTTTTGGGGGAGATGATAAAAGTTTTTTTTACACAACAAAAAATGACTTACCAGCCAACATTTCAGTAGTCCATATCTATTTTGGAGCAGGTGGATCTACAAGTGCATTTGTTTTGTTTTGTTTGTCCAGGTGTGTTCCATTTGGGTTTGCCCAACTTGTACACCATTGATGAATACACCTGCAGGTTGTTAAAGTTTTTGCTTTGTGTTACAAAGGTGTTGACATACAGGATTTGCTGATCACACATTGTCTGTATGTTCTCCAACATAGCTTTGTTATTCAATCCAAATATGTCTGGCCACCAAAAGAAGAAACAGCATTTTCACTACTTGTTGAATATTGTAGTTGTCATAATGCTCAATTCCACCCAACTTTGCATGCAGCTATATAATCTCTGTCCACAAATATGATTGCTACATGCAAGAGTCTAAAAGAAAAAGTGAAGTACTACTTATGTATACTATGTATATCTTGCCAAGTTGATACAAACACATGCTCTTTGAGAAGTGCACGACATGTGCCTGTACTTGCATACAAATTAAAAAAAAAAGTTACTGCAGATGTTATGATCTATCAAACAGCTCCATGGCAATTTAACATCAAGTTCATTATGTGCATCAAATTGTATGGAACAGCCTTCAACTATTCTGACATGATCAGGTAATTTATCACAATGGATGTCTTTGACCGTGAATGTCAGTAGACTTACCACCTGGTGCTTGGCAGTCCTGAAGTTTTTTTGGGGGCTGGTCGGAAGTTTCACAGGAGCACTAACTTATGACTTGAGGGTTGTGGAGGTCAGACAGCCAGTTCTCACTCCCAGGGTCCAGTTGACCTAGATGTTGAAGGCAAAACATGTCCTCGAACCTGTTTATTTGCAACTGGGGGTAGGTCAAGGGTTTTGAATCATTTGAGAGAAGCAGTGTAATGTATTAAGTAGAATTATTAACATTTCTTGTTAGTGAAACAGTATGTATGTGCTTTATCTGCGACCTTAGATTAGATGTAGGCCTTTTTGTGTATCACTTAAAATGTGAATATCTATTTCTTCACCCTAAGTAAAATATGGAACTTCCCACACATGGTTAGTACATGTGCTGTCTGGGAGTAGTTGTAAGAAGAGAGGGGGGCACTGATACATTTCTGCTCTACTTGTTAGTTTGCTTGACCCGATTTTCAGCTGTAGATGTCTGAAAGAAAGTCTGTTCTGTTTTAAAGACTTGAGTGACAGTTGTGCTCCAAAAGTAGGTCCTATGTGTAATGGTAATGCCCTCTAAGATTTAGAGGAACAAGCTGAGAACAGCACAACGTCTGGACTAATCAGACTTGCACCATTCAGAAATCTGTAATGGTGTACATGTATAGGCTGTGAACTGCCTGGGGAGAGATGGCAATTTGAATGACAAGATGCAGTTTGAAGTTTTGTGCTGATTCTTTTGTTTTAACTCTTACCAATAACAACATTCTGTAAATAAGTATATATTTCCAGAAAATTAACAGAATTTGCATAATGTGTATGTTGTATAAGCAGCCTCCCAAAGTATAATTTTTCCTTCATCATGCCATGTACTGTCCTCATCTAGATCATTCAATCTATAGCTTTAAAGTGAAACTTGACCAAAGTAAAGTAAAGTAAAGTAAAGTATGTATGTAGTGTCACACAGGGCTATTGCAGTATTTCCTTATTGATTATGAAACCATGATTTGCATAATCTATTTTGTCTAATAATACTCAACTGCTCTCAATTTCTAAAAGCTGTAAGTATGATTTTCCAGTCATTTCCTGACAAGCTATTATGCAAATTAGGTAAACACAAGAGATCTATTGTTATGAAGGTATTTTGGTCTAGGGAAGACTCTGTCCACACTGTAAAGCCCTGGACACCATGTTTTCCATGCACTGCCACATGTCCCTGCATGACTTGCTGTGTTTTGTTGAATCAAGCTCATGTTAACTCCCCCTTGAGCCTCTGCTGACTGCTGGACAGTCTCTTCTTTGTGGTCAAGCTTTCACCTGTTTCCATGACCTACTTTACTTCACCTAACAAGCTTTTAAGGATTATGTAATTCTTTCTTGAACATGCTGCCAAGAGCTTTCAATGGTCACGAGAAATTAGGACATCGTTATTTGCATATGTTTTAATAGATTGATTTAGCTTAATTGTAGTGATGAGTTTGGAAAATGGCCAGTTTTCTACTTGAAAGTCAGGGGAAAGTCTAGTCACATTACATAACTTGTCCAGTCTGGTTCAAATTGAGATTTGTTTGAGGGTTACTGAGAAGTGAGGGAAATAAATGTTGATGGGGAGTGTTCAAAGTCAGGCGTGGTTTCAAGATGGTTTTAAAAAGGTTTGAAACTAATTGTTACTGACAGTGTTTGTATGGGTGCCAGTACATGATAAAGACTACTGGCAATGGACCAAGCCTGTAGATGTGAAGACGATTGCTGCAAACTCAGAACGTGTTGACGTCAGTAAGCCCTGACAGCAATAACAGTTGATAAATTGTGTACAAATTTACCAAGAAGATACATGTGTAGCCTGTGAATTTCCTCTGTGGAATTTGAAGAATTTTGGTGACCCTCTTTTATATACATTTGTACAATGTTTCCACACAGCCCCTCTGCCAGTCTCATCTATGAATTCAAGTACTGCAGCAAAGATGTGTGGCCAGTGTGATAACAGCATTACTTAGTTTAAGTTGTACAGAATGTACAACTGCTAGTCTTCTCATGTACATTGAATAAATGCTCATTAAACAGTCTCTGGCCAGAAGTTACTGACTGGTATTTCTGGGGGAGTCTGTAGACTATATCAGCACTGCAATTTCTTTTGGCCTTTGGGAAAACATATTTTGTTTAAAAAAGCTTTATATGTAACGTTACATGTGTACATGCCTTCATTTTGACTTTCTATATTCTCCAGCACCCTCCATGTTTCTACTTCTGCATATCTTGCTACTATTAAACAGAGTACCAATACAGTACAATCAGAATTATTGTGAAATGATGTACCAACAAACATACTGAGACAGAAGTGAAATATCTGCATATTTGCAGGCAATGCTTATTTTCTGAGCCTTACACTTCACAGAACTTGAAAGCGGAACCAATTAATCAGAGGCCTCTGATTGCACCATCTGGCACTGGCTGTGCTGCCATACCACCTGTCTAGGTGATGTATTGGTGATTAGAATATATAGGATCAAAGCAGTGTCGTGGTCACTGGAGGGTGACCTCCCGTGGTGTATGGTTGTTTCGTCTCCCAGCCTTTGTATGAGGCATTTTAACAGGTACATCAGTCAAGCCTGCCATGTGACACATAATGTACATCAGAGTGTGTTTTGGAAGGTTGGTCATGTCATATGGTTGTCCTTGGAATACCAGGTGACATTTACAGGGTTTGTCGGTTATATGATCATGAACTCCTTTGTCAATGGGATGACGTGGGTATGTTCATGTATATTCAGGGAAGACCACACAAATTCTGTTGCCAATACGTGTTACGTTGATGAAATAGATGTTCTGTCCATGGTGCTGAAAAGGTGTTTGCGTTTGATACAAGTTAGCAATGTCCATGTAGTATACTGTCCATCAGTAGTCCATCTGTTTTGATCATGGCAGAAAATAGCATAACCACACCTTGGTATGATTGAACCTGTTTGAATCTAATTAACCTTCAGCAAGCAGTGGGTTAATATATCCAGTGAATGATGAATGAATACAGTTGAAAGGCATTGCAGTTTGCCCACTGAAAGTCAAACTACACTTGTTGACAGCCATGTATCACTTGCACAGAAATTTTCTTCTTTTCATTGCCTCATATCCTATAAAAAAGAATGATAATGTGTGTTTGGATTTTAACACTTTTCCTGGGCAGTTTTGGCTCTTTGTTCATCATGATGATCTTGATGTTGGGAAGTCCAACATGACTTGCATTACAGGGTCATTACAAGGCGTGCATTTTAATTGGAATGTCAATCTGTTTTTTGCCTCTTCTTTTGCCGGACTCTCAAAATGTCACATGGTTTTGCTTTACGGAAACGATATCATAAGTATGCTGAGGACTGCCTTTGGAAATCAAATATGCTTGAAATTGACCTGTACCACTCAGGCGAATATCATATCCAGCACATCACATCGCGGGGAGTTATTCTATGTCATGGAGGATTCTGTTAGTTAGAATGAAAACTTAACATTTATCGATAAGACTTCCAGCACAATTTGCCCAGTGAAATAGAAACACACTATAGTTATGCAGTGGGTGTCTGAAAGCTTATTGTGTAAGGCCCAGCATCCATTATAGGCTTTCATGTCTGAATGGCTTTGCCATGGCTTTCTGATAAATGCTCAGTGAGGTAAATACACATTAAGGAACTGCCCGTGCATGCCAAAAGGAGAGTTCGCTCAAGAGGCTAAGTCAATGCAAATTGGTCCTTTATACTATAAATTATAGCTTGGACAGCACCTCGAGCTAACTGTCCTACTGAGGATTAACTCCTGCCCCCAGGAAAGAGCTTTATACCACCCAGCCACTTGTATTGAAAATATTGGTCTGTAATATAACTACCCTTGGTATACATGTATCAGCTTTGTCTTGTAAGTCCACAGCAATGTACTTTCTTGGTTCTCTGGTAATTGTTACAGAAAATTGATGGGGTGGGCAGGCAAAACAAAAGTACAATCTATAACAGGTAGTGTTAGTATGGTATGTTGATTGCATGTCTGAAATGCACATCCTCTCTCTTTGTAAGGCCATGTTGATTTGATTATATGGATGACATCCTCCGGGAGCCCCAAAACTGATGCGAGCGTGCGAATTAAAAAAAAGTTTTGCAAAAAAAAAGTTCTTTTCATTATGAAATCTACGTGGTCATGAGGGTTGAGCAAATGGCACAGAATATGGTTTGGCGAATAATCTAGTCTTCAAGTACATTTCTTTACAATTTCGTCTTTTTTCGTTTGATTTTGTCATTCTACGACATTGGTATAGTTTTTATTAATTTTTTTGTAACTTATGGTATATTTTTGCTCATTTTGCAACTGTTTTGTACGATTTACAGTATGGTTGAAACCTTTTTTTTTTTTTTGGAAACGGCCGAAAATTCATGCGCGCGCGGATGTCA